GAGGCAAACTGGCTTATTTTGTCTTCTATTTCTTAGTATGTTTTTAAATATTGAATTCAAAGTACAGTAATTCTGAGTGAGCTTCGTACTTGGGCATGTGGTGTGTCGTTGTAAAAGTGGTGTGTTGTTTGATAAGTGGTGTGTTGTTTAACATGTGGTTTGTTTTTTGACATGTGGTGTGTTGTTTTACATTTGGAGTGTTGTTTGACTCGGGGAGTTTTTTTTTCACAAGTGCTGTATCGTATGTCATTTGGTTTGTTGCTTTACTAGTGGTGTGTTGTTTGGCAGTCGGTGGGTTGTGTGTACTAACCAGGATCCCACTGACAGTCCGTGGTTTGTATCTATGCAGGGAATGCTGACGTCAAACAGCCACAGAAGCTCCCGGGTCACTTTCACGTCAGCAGAATAGTTGCCGTTGTAGTCTCCAACAATCTACACAAAACAGTGTGTTTAGAATCAGTCACCCGGTCAGTCAGTCAGTCAGTCAAACAATCGAATCATCAGGGAAAACAGTCCGTCTGTCAGTCAGTCAAACGAGTTGAATCAGTCATCAAAACATTTCACCAGTCATCAAAAACATCCCATCAGTCATCAAAGACATTCCATCAATCAGTAAAACATGCAATCAGTCAGTCAAGGGAATTTAACCAGTATCAAAACATTCCTCCAGTCATCAAAAGCATTCTATTAGTCATCGAAAACATTCAATCAGCCAGTCAAACATTCAATCAGCCCGCCAAACATAAGATCATGCAGTCAGATATTCAATCATTCAGTCCAAAGAATTCAATCAGTCAGTCAGTCAAACATTCAGGTAATCAGATAAACGAAATCCATCAGTAAAAACCATTCAATCAGTTAGTCAAACATTGAATATGTGGCGTTGTAATCTCTCAAAACCTGCATAAAACATTCAATTTGTCAGTCAGCAATTTAAAAAAAAATCAATTCATCAGTCAAACAATCTATGAACTGTGCATACTTGTATCGTTAAATATGTCAATCAAGTAATCAATTAGACGATCGATAGAACAAGCAGTCACCATATCGATAACTCTGTTTTTCTAGCAAACACTTTATAACCCAATTATCATGATTTATCAATCAATCATCAATCGATCTACCAATTACAATACTTTAAAAAAGTTAGTCCAATAGATCAGTTTGGTAGCAGTAGATCTAATACTCTTTAGGAAATGTCCAAATCTTTTACTTCTAATCGCTAGACTTGGGTTTACTCAAGCTTTTTTAGGATGGGCTAACAAGACGAGAGAAAATGAAATGGACGGCATCTGTGGTGTAGTGGTTAGTCGCTCCCTCTTGAAGAGAATATTAATCGACTATCTCGGTAATTCTGCTGGGTTATTGCATTCCTCTCAGTCCTTTTTGCACAGACAAACAGGTACGTAGCCCGCTTCCTAAATGATGTAAATTGTGTTGAAGGGGCGTACAAACATTTAGCCATAAGCCGATAACGTTTGAGCAATGGGAAAACTTACAGAAGAGAAGCTGAAGGGGGAAAGTCCATCAGCAGACAAAGTTATCACATTGAGACTCAAACTGAATGCCTTCTCCCTTAAAAAACGAAAATAAATATTGATCAATTAAAAAAGACACATTAAAAGCTATTCTAGTCAAACATCCCCTGCCTGTCAAGATAGATGGATGTATAAAGAACCACGCAAACAAATATTATTCTAGTCAGTTGCCCTTTGCCTGCCAAGACTCGCGTGACTGCACAACATTTATTCTTCCTCTCCATCACGGAATTTTATTTCCCCTAATTACTCCACCTCGCTAGGGGGACAATAAGTCTTGCAGAATGCTAAGCGCACCCCGCTGACAAGTTATATTTTCCTCTACATAAGTGGCCCACCTCAATAGTCCCGCCAGCCGTGAAGTTGCCAGGCAAATGGACGGGATCAGGGTTCACGTCTGCCACAAGGACTCTTAGTTTGTCCTCGGCCGGATTCTCGCCTGGGGGGAGGG